GGGAGAGAGCCAATGCCTAAGAGACTGTTAAAAACTGAGAACAAACTGAGGGTTGATGGGGGGTGGGAGGGAGGGGAGGGTGGGTGATGGGTATTGAGGAGGGCACCTTTTGGGATGACCACTGGGTGTTGTATGGAAACCAATTTGACAATAAATTTCATATATTAAAAAAAAATTATGGAAAAGAATAAAAGATAAACACTGATTAAAACAGAAAAAAAAAAAAGAACTCTTTCTGTGTTGATTACAGTCCTGTGAGACCATGAGCCAGGTGACGGAGAGGTGTTCCCTGGGCTGCAGCCACAAAAACTGAGATGCCACATGAGGACGCAAGCTCCTTTCTGGGAGATACTGGCAAGCTGAAGTGAGGCAGAAGGAAATACCATTTTTAATGTTTCATTTCAGCTTAACAAAGCAGAATTTACAAAATTCTTGTGAATTAGATAACTTTAGGAAGACAAATAGTTCCCTTATGTATCAAAAAACCCCAGAACATTAAAACAAAATTAAACGTTATTCTAAACAAATAACCACATTAAATTTTTCATCAGTTCATTCATTCCAGTGTGAGGTGTTCTTGTTCTGTTGGATTTTGGATTTGCAGTTTCATAAAACTGCTTATAGACTTTTAAAAAAAAGGAGTAATTCTAATACAGTCCGCTGGTATGTTGTGAAGTTAACTGTCTCCTCAGAAGCCTGTATCTAAGTGTCTATTCTTTGAAATATAAGTGCCTTCATCTAGCTGGTACAGTTCTTTTTGCATGCATCTGAGATGTCCTTTTTTTGCAAACACAAACTCTGGCCGTGTCAGAGTTTATAGGAGAAACTTCAGGCAAGCATTGGAGTAGAACAAAAACTATCAATAGATGACTGAAGCTTAAAATGTGTGTTGCTAATTTATTGCTGATAGTTGTCAAATGGAAAGATCTGGTGAGGGTTCAATATAAGAATAAGATAGCTGACAGGGATATTTGGTTGTTTCTGTGACATGCAAAACACATTATTCCAAGAAGTTTTTTAAATAAAATGTTTCTAAAGGTGACGATTAAGCTTGTTCTCAAAGAAGTCAGTGACTCCTTTAACATCTGATTCATAAATGTGGAAGACTATAATTTCTTACAGAAGAAAAATGTTGAGGGTCGTCTGGGTGGGTGCTTCAGTCAGTTAAGTGTCCAACTTGATTTAGACTAAGGTCATTATCTCTCCCTCTTCTCTCTGCCCCTCTGCCAATAGTGCACATGTGCCCTCAAGCACTCTCTCTTTCAAAAAAAAAAAAATGTTGAGATACAACATGATAATCCTAAGACCTAATTACCAAGAATAACAAAGAATGTCAAGTGAAGAGATTCAGTAAGTCAGGAATCAAGATTAGACATCAGTATATTTTGTAAAATTTGTGCATAAGTGAAATACATCCCATTTGCAAACAAGATGATACTAGATATGAATTAAAGCAGTAAGAATATACCATGAAACACTTAAAATAACAGTTAAATAATAACTGAAATTAGGATTTACCACCTGAACTTTGATAAATACAGGAGAGCTGGAACAATTTCAAAAGAGTTTTGAATAGTGTTTTACTTCATATTTAAACATCTGTGGGGTTTTTTTTGTTTGTTTTTAATGTTTATTTTTGAGAGAGAGAGAGAGACAGAGTGTGAGCAGGGGAGGGGCAGAGAGAGAGAAAGACACAGAATCTGAAGTGGGCTCTAGGCTCTGAGCTGTCAACACAGAGCCCAACTCACGGCTTGAATTCCTGAACCACGAGGTCATGACCTGAGCCGAAGTTGGATGCTTAACCGACTGAACCACCCAGATGCCCTTCATATATAAGCATATTTCCATGTAAACATATGGAAAGCAAAGATACTGACAAATCTCCAGGGACTTCTTATAAGACAAACAACTTTTGAAATATTTATATTTAATTACATTTTACCATATAAATTTAACTTAGGGAAGATTGAGTGTCTTTTCTAATTTCTTAAATAGTAACACTTTAAAGAAACCTAATTATTTCTAGCATCTCTTCTTATATAAAAGAACAAACTTTTGTGATTCTCCAAGGCCTCTCTGGGAATTCTCAAAGTTATTTTCACTAATATGTAAAAGTTATCTTGCAAGTTTGAGTTTTCTGTTTAGGATGTGATTTTGTGAATTATGTTAGTTTGCAAGAGCTGCCATAAAAAATACTACAGACTGGATGGCTTAGACAACAAATTTATTTTCTCAACAGTTTTGGAGGCTAGAAGTCCATGATCAAGGTGTCATGTCAGCACTTTGGGTTTCTTCTGAGGCCTCTCTCCTTGGCTAGCAAAGTCTGCCTTTTTGCTGTGTCCTTAATGGCCTTTTCTCTGTGTGTGTGCATCACTGATGTCTCTTCTTTTTATTTTAAGGACTTCAGGTATATTGGATTAGGGTCCTTCCCTAACAGCCTCATTTTACCTTGATCATTTCTTCAAAGACCCTTTCTCTGAATACAGCTATATCTGAGTTACTGGGGGTTAGGACTTCAACATATGAACTTTGAGGGAAATAATTGAACCCATAACAGGAAGGCAAAAATCAAAGAAATTATGAGAGGACTTGAACACTTTATTAAGATATAATTATTGATATTAGAAACAATACTTGGTTACTCAAAGTGACAAAGATTTCAGAGTAAATTGTGGGGGGTAATGAAATTGGAAATGTTTATTAGCTCTTTCAAAACTGAGGAACATTTTTTCTCCCTTAAATAATGAAAGACAATAAAAGCAACATAAAGTATTGAAAACTATTCTTTTTTTTTTCCAGTATATGAAATTTATTGTTAAATTGGTTTCCATACAACGCCCAGTGCTTGCAAACTATTCTAATAAGACAAAGAATTTTTGCCGTCTAGCAGATTCACAAAAAGTAAAGAAAAACATTTTATATTATAGGTGAAGGAAGACAATCAGTAAACCATGGGAGCACACACTTCAAAATTGAGTGCAATTTGCTAAGACATTAACATATTTTATAGCTTCTTTCAGAGTAAGCAAGGCAAATAAAATTCACTTGTCACATTGTCTTTGGTTATGCTCTTTCGTATTCTGGAACAAACTGACTTGCTTCAGGATAGGTCGTGTTGTCTGAAGAGGGTCCATGAATTCAAAATGACTTTCATATTAATACTAAGATGTTATCTTTGCTAAGATGTAGTGCATTCATTATTGCTCATTTTTAAATGAATCAATATTTTAAATATTTCTTAATTTTAAACTCTACTCCACTAAAAATTTCTGCCTTTAACCCCTTAAGTACTGAGAAGTTGTTTAGGGTCCTGAGTGTCCTAAAAGTATAAAGGAGTTCAGAGAATATCAAAAACTACTCCTTTTCCTTGTAAGTCAAAAGCATGTGCATAGCTGTATCTCTGTCAGTACTGCCCCTAAATAGAA